TTCCAGTTAACGCCACTTTCAAGGTCGACTTGTTACATTTAGTTTTCCATATACAGATGAAAGTTGACTTATATAAGTTGAAGTAAAGGTGTATGAAGTCTTAAGTCTCCGAAGTGGAGACTGTCAAGTCTTAAATTAACATTAGCCAAACTAGGTAATTATATTACAATGGACTTAAAGGAGAATTCAAATTTTTAGCTGAAATACCAATAACCGTCAAAATTATACGTATGTGCGTTAGTCCGATCTCAAAACTTAACTAAAGTTTATAGAAAACATTATTAAACTGTTGGTAAAAGCGCGGGACTGTGTATCATTGTTGAACATTATGACGAGCAGTAAATATTTGGTTTGTTTGAGACACCGTGGTCGTCCTTTCCAATGCATGCTGACCCACAGCCCAATGCGTTGACTTGGACAAAACGTTCATAACCGGTCACATTACGTGAATGTTGTTATTTGGCTGTTACAAACGTATACATGTATTTAACTATAAAGCTAACCAACAAATATTATTTTTGTATTAAATGTAAGTTTTACAAAAGGTTTCGGTATAGGTCCAGACCTTTTGTGGTTCCGACTACTGTCGTCTGTCGCTACCGCGAGTCACAAAAGCCACGCGAAACCCTCCCCCTTGACACCAGGAGGGTCGACTACCTGTCCCCGGAATCTTTTGTCTTCTATGTTTAAACTATGGTTTAGCCGGTTTGGTTTTGGTGGGTTATTATGGGAATGACACTATTTTTGGTTATTCCTAACACGTATTACCCTATTTTCGTCGCTAGCGAGTAAATTAGGTTCATTTACCTTTTAAATTCCCACTTTGTTGGAGGTCGTCCTGACTGTCACTACTTATTAGGGAAAAACTTTTTTTTTATGCACTGCCGTATTTTATGAGTTTCTTCTTTTAGCCGAGAGATCGCTTTAACTGGTAGAAGTTTCCTTTATAGAAAACATAGATCGACCCTTCTACATTTTTATTTTACCTATCTGTGTCGTATGTCGTTCTCACAAAACTTAAAGATTTGGGTTGTTATATAGACTCAGACAAGCGTGATTTTTTGGACATTTTTTTTACTGAAATCTAAGCCACTTTATTACTTTTCAGGTCGCTCGTTCTCACACAAAGGAAGTCGAGGGACAAGGAGGACAGGCCGACCCGGAGGACTCACAGACAGGCTCCCTCTCCTTCTCCCAGAGGACGAGGAGACCCCCTTCCCCTCCCCGTCAGGAGTCATTTGTCGACCTGACGACTACCTGCGAGTGACTAGTCGTGTGACTCCGAGCGTTAGACATGGTGGGAGTGAGCTCTGATTCGTCGTAGGTTGAGACTCTGTTCGTCAGACGTCCTCCGGTAACCGCGACCGACGGCAGTCACTTATTGTAAGTCGTTCCAGAGAGTTCCTCTCTCTACGAGGTTGGACACCACTCTTTTCTAACTTCAGTTGGTCACAAGGCTCACTTAGTTCTCCGTAGCCTAGTCGACCGCGCCGGGATTCATGTAGGAAACCCCCGGGCGGAATTTTCGGCTCCGAAACCGAACAAGGGAGGTCGGACATTCGGCCGCAGGAGTGAAGTATGTTGTCGCCTTGCGTTGAAAACAGGAATACTTACAATCGTATTCGTTCGTGTCTAAGGCATATGTTTTATGACGTTCGCTTTCATTTTTTGTGCACCTGCGCGATTGGAGAAAGAGTCCCCCAGGAGTCGAAGGACGATTTCCGAGCCGAGTTGGAGGAGATTCCCCCGAGAAACGTCCAGGAAGGTCGGAGATAACTTCATTTCTTTTAAGCTCCTGAACCTAAGAAAAGCTCAGATATCAGTTTTACATTGCTGCAGTGAATCAGTTTATCAATTAAGGTTGTAGTTTATTCAAAACCAAGTAAGAAGCCTCTATCCTTCAGCATTTGAACTGCAAAGTCACTGAGGATGTCAATGACTTCACTGGAAACCAATATCTGAGCACAAAGACATGTTATTCACATAATATTAAAGCTATATATGTATCAGTGTTTAAAGTAAAACAGCTCACCATGAGAGACTCCGAGTATGAACACCAGCAGTCCAACCACAGCCTTCATGCCTCCTCAGTGTTCAGTCAGCAACTTTCAGACACACTTCTCTACTTCCCACCAACACCGTACACTGAACAGCCGGAGATATATCCTGTTAGTGATCAGCCTCAGAGCATAATTACTGTAACCTTTCAGCAGAGCGTTGTTATATTCATCTTTTTTTGGATTGAAAGAAAAGGAAGTGATATCTGTGTCACTTCCCCTTTTGGCCTCCACCAAGATGGCCTCTGTGGGTGATGGACTGAGAGGAACAGAGGGAAACATTCCTCCTTTTAAACGGAAAGAGGGTTTGAGACTAACAGCTGTCCTTTTTTTGTTTTCCATGTAGCAATATTGACAACGAAATGAAACGGTTAAATGTCGCTTCCACATCTTACCGAATTAGCAAACTGCCTCTCACTCACCAGCAGATCATTGATATTAAACCATTTTAAACAAACATTAAAACTATCTGCACACCAAACTGTATTTTAAATTCTGATTCAAACAGTCAAATGAATACTTGAATAATTCACAAATAATGACAGTGATCCTAATATCATTTTACAGGGGTATAACAGCATTATACAGATTCACGCTAGTGGTCAACTAATGTTTGCAGCATAAATATATATTGAATATATTTGTTGCAATACTTTATCCATAACAGCACCTAAACATTTCTGAGGCTTTTGTCCTCTGACAAAATCAACATGCAGTTAAAGGATTATTAGTTTGTCTTCTGTCAGAGGCTTTTTTTATAACTAAGGCAATAATACGCCCTACTTCTCAGCCCCCTGACTGAACAGAACAATACTTTGCCATCAAACTATCATTTCAGGATCACATCCGTTCAACATAGGCTCTTTATTTGTACTTAGTTTGTTTAAAAAATAGTTTAATTTGGTTAGCCTAATGGTCTTCACAGCTTCCTGCTGAATATGAAAGGAATTCATTTTGGTCAAATCAAATGTAAACTTCAAAACTGTTCTGACATATTGGTTGATGCAAGTGTTAGTTAGGGTGGTGGCTGTTGTGTAATTCACTACATGGAAAAGGGAAGTAGATGATTCAACTTTCAGTTATCTCACTTCTCTCTCTCTTTAGACTCTGTTGCCCTCTATTGATATAAGGAACATTCCCTAAACTATTTAAAGACATATGACATTGCACTTGTAATAATACACATATATGTTTATATTTTAACCTCATTATGCAGACTGGTAGTAGTAGCCTATTAAGGCAGCAACACCATATGGTTATTTTGTATTGATCATCATTTCTACCTGAAATGTTAACATTGGGAACAGAGATTTTACAGAATTATCCACGAACAGCAGTAACGCCTCTGACCGTCAGTAGGGGGAAACCTCACACCGACTGATACTGATAATTAAAGGTAGAGTCTGTGATGAAAATGAAAACAACAAAATGGAAGTTTACATTATTTGAATAATGTTTACATCTAGATTACCTTTAGTAAGAATACTTAATGTTTGTTGAATTAGCAAAACACGTACAGACCTTTATTAGCCTTACATACTTTTATTATCATGAAAGCAATATTTAACTTCATAAAGTGCCACAACTGGATTGGATATATAACAACAGCAAAGCGACTTTCCATAAGAACGTATTGCAAGCAAACAAGCAAAAAAATACCTATATATGACATTTTAATCACATGAGGAAAACAACAGACTATCATGCACATGATTCAATCTGAGTCCAATCCTAAAATGATATAAATGATCATGATTGTAAAAAAAGATGCAGGCACCTCGACTTGTACTTGAACTACGATACAAAATGCAAAACAACACTGACAGACCTCAAATAATAACAACTCATACTGACCTGCTAAACTGTGAACACATTTAAGTAATTTTAGAATAACCACAGCAGATTATTTCCACTCCCTTTCCTCACATGCTTAAAGACGATGAGAGACGACCTGAGTTGAACTTCAGATGCCTTACATCTCAACCATCACAACAGACTCATCTTGATGTTCCCTCTCTGGACGGTAAGCAGAACCTTCAGCCTTCTTGTGTTTCTTTTTCTTCCAAGCAAAATAGACGGCAATCCCGATTAATGCAAAAACCACCACAGCTGCCCGCACACCACATACGAGCAGGGAGTGATGAGCTGGGATAAAGAGGCACAAAAACAACATGTCAAGTTAGTTCTGTGACAGGAGAGTTCATGTTTACTATTTAAGAACCGTCTCTGCTGGAGGAAGAAAGTGCTTATTGGATGGTTTATGGAAACATTGATATCACTCTCCTACCCACAAGCCTTAGTTTTCACAGGTTTCTGTAAAAAATCAATAAGACAACAACAACTCATCCAGAACGCTGCTGCCGGAGTCCTCACCAAAACTAGGAGAATTGACCACACCACCCCAGTTCTCAAAAATCTGCAGTGGCTGCCTATCACACAAAGGATACACTTCAAAATCTTACTTTGAACATACAAAGCACTTCATGGATTGGGAACAAAACACATTTCAGAGATGCTTCACTGTTACGAGCCAGCCAGAGCTCTCTGATCAACAAGAGCGGGTTTACTCCTTGTCCCCAGAGTCAGAACTACATTTGCAGAGACAGCTTTTAGTTTTTATGCACCACAAGCCTGGATTCTTTCTTTTTAATGCTACCTATCCTGAGATGCTATAACCGTGCCTTATCACTGCAACAATTATTTTATCGCTTTTTTGAATTGTCTTTTTTTTGTTTGTTTGTTTTGTATTATGATGTGTTAAATGCCTATGTGAAGCACTTTGAATTGCCTCTGTGTCTTAAAATGTGCTATACAAATAAACTAACCTTGAACCTTGAACCTTGAACCTTAGTTTCTATGTTTGTTGTAGGAGCTGTTCCAAAACTCACACATATAGAAATAACTCTAGGGGGTTTTATGGAGATAAACAAAGTAAAAAAAGGGGGAATGACTTTAACAATCCATTGTAGAAGTTTTGTATTTCACTAATCTCTTTGTGTGTCTCCTTACTGTTGTGACTCGACAGTTATGTTACGTTAAAGGGGACCTATCATGCAAAATGCACCTTTGTGCGTCTTTTTATACATGAATATGTGTCCCCGGTGTGTCAGGGAACTCACCAAGACTCAGAAAACACAACCCTCTCTATTTTCCTCCATACCCAAATCTCTTAAAAAGGGGCTGCAACGGATCTGATACAGACTGATCCAGATTTGAACACNCGTGTTGTCTCAGAGTGATGCTGTTAGTCTCAGTATTTACAGATTGGAGCTCAGTGTCTGTCAGTGAGCGTTCATCCAGAGTCCAGCTGTACTGAGGACTGTCCCCTCCCCCAGAGGAGCAGGAGACCCTCTTCTCTCCCTGGGACAGACACTCAGAGGCCAGCCGGACAGAGGACACAGGAGCTGAAGGAAGCACACTAGTGACTTTTCATATTCACACAATCTAAGTCATTTCATGCAGTTTTTAGTGCAGAACAGACAGATTATGTTGAGTTTAGAAATACAAACTTTGTATGTGTGTCTATCCATTTGACTACATTTCCCAGTAGATAAAAAAAGATATTTACCTTGAATGGTCAGTCGTAGAGCCCGATTCTCTTTGATATTTATGCCGTCACTGATTTCAAAAGGATATTCATCACTGTCAGTCCTGCTGAGGTTGTTCACCCTAAATGTTCCATTACTTGGATTAAATGAGGATCTGCTTTTTATCCCATTATGCACAATCGTATTGTTTATCACAGTAAGTATTATTGTTGTTTTGTTTGACGATTTGTAAAATTGGTATCTTTGTGTTTCTAAGGCCCTGTCCATCAGTTGGAAGACCACAGTTCCTCCCAAAGGACCGAAGCAGTGAGCTCCATCCTGTCTGCCGTCACAGTGGGTTTCCAGACCTGGAAACACAAAATAGAAACATTTAAAAAAAGGTTTAAAATCAAAAACATCAAAAATGTAAGTTTTGCATTTCTACAAAAATATTGAGTTTTGTAATTCTTTAAGCATATTTAAATACTGATCTGCAGCAAAAAATAAGTATTTCACTGGTTTCAAGACAAAGTTTTGTGAAATACTGTATACATATGTTTAGCAGCTGAACTGTTACAGTACAAATGCTTGTGTACAATATTTGTGCTTAGGTGAAGTTAACCTCACCCAAACAGGAACTTCCATTTTAAATTATTAGGAAGTTACCAAAGCCTTCAAAATCAACTCGTTATTTTTCAGTGTGTTTTTGGCAATGTGTTTGAACTAATGGAAAAGAGCCATCAAACCTTGATATCTAGCGTATATAAATTCTAAAGATGTGGCCATCAGACCATGATATACTGTATAAATGTTTCCTGTGGATGTAAGCATTCTGTAGCTGTAATCAAGTACCAGTACAAGGAATTAACACATGTTCTTAACTTAAAGTAAGCTTTACGAACATTGTATGTGGAATTGAGAAGAATATGAGTGGAAAATGTCATTAGGTTGAATCAGTTACATAATAAATTATGTTTGATTAATACAAGATTGAAAAACTATCAATCATAGTTATTCTGTTAATTTTTGTATAAGTTATAATTAAACGGTTGAACTGTAACTGTATGCCTAATTTAATGCAGACAGAAAACATGTTTTGTTGCGATAGAGCCATGAACAATATGTGAAAGCAAAACATTTCACTGAACAAACGGAACAAAAACGTTCCTCCGCTTGTCAGTTTCTTTAGTTGTTGAATTAATTGTACAGCCTATTGTTATCAAAATTATGACTTAGAAATGATTGTCATGTGTAAATGAGACAAAGAAAGCTTTAAGTTAGCTTCAACATCATGGATCTATGCCAGTGAATGAAGATCACAGCAGATTTTGAAAAATCCCTAATCATATTTATTTCATGTATTTGTGATGTTTCATGTCTCGAATGAATTTGGGCCCAGCGTGGTTGAAGAGTTGATCGTAGGCTTGAATATTGGTGCCTTCACACATTTTGATTTTTGAATTTTGATCTTAAGAAATGTGGGCATAATGTGAGTACATTTAGAAAATGTTATCTCAACTCCAACATTTCAGAAAATATAGTCTCCTATCTCAATATTGTTGTCTCCTGGGTTCTGTAGTGCTCGGAGTCTGTCTTTTTATTTTCTTCCTCCCAACCCCCATCCCCTCAGGAAGCCTTTTGCCTCCTGTCAGGTCATCTTTGAAAATAAGAATTTGTTCTTAATTGATTTTCCTGGCTAAATAAAGGTTCTACTACTACTACTACTACTACTACTACTACTACTACTACTACTACTATTGATGTAAAACTAATATATTGCTCAGCTTTAATGTCAAATATATGTGAATTAGACTGATTATAAGTTAAAGATCTGACCGTAAGAGGCTCCGAGCACCATCACCAACAGTCCGATCACAGCCTGCATGTCTCCTCAGTGTTCAGCCTCTGGGGACCCAGTCTGCAGCTCACACTAAACTCTAAACTTTATACTACAGCAAACGTGCACATACTACACAGAGCTGCCTGACATGTCTTCTGTTAGTGATCAGATTCAGATAAGAAGTGATGAAGCAGAATATCGTGATCAACTGGTCCTCTTACCTCCCCATTTATGTTGAGAATATTCTGACTACTAGATACCGTTATAGCCTTAAAAGGAGGTTGGAACCTAAAAGAAATAACAGAAGTATGGTAATGGTTTCTGTAGTTCTGTGAGACAATATCAGAGCGTACGCTTAACTTTAGTAAGGCAGGAAATTGTGTCATTGTAGAGGAAGTAGAGGGAGGCATGTGGCGCAGTGGATAGAGCCTTGGTGTTCGAATCAGGGGGTGTACATTTGTATCAGAAAACAACTATTAAGTCCCTCCAACTACCATGAAACAACTGGTCCTTAGACAAGACATAAAGTGAGTGAAACCAAACTC